GCATCGGCAGCATGTAATCCTCCCCTGCGCTCATTCCCTGGCTTGCGAGCTTTTAACCCTGTGCTGTTTTTCACAGGTGGAACAGCAGCTTGATTTTGGGCAGGACTACTCATCGTATCCTTAAACCTCCTCTTGTATTTCTGAATATGCTCTCCCAGCATCGACCGATATCGCTCCTCTGTCACGTGTGTCCCATAAAAACCGCTCCTATCCTCATTGTCACTATTTAGAGACCACCTCCTCTTCTTCAACAAATTAGCCTCCCTCCCATGCACATTACCATTACTGTGATTTGCAATCACCCCACCTACTCAAACAGCACACACTTATATTCAAGTCCCAACTCTCAAACCAGCAAACAAAGCAAACACTCACTAACCAAACATTAATATCTACCATTATGAAAATCCAAGAAACAGAGTCTCTAATATAAACAACAAAATATATTGAAATAGTGTCTACCTTGACTGCCTTTGCTCTCATCCTGACTACTATTCCCATAATAATCAAAATCATCATCTTGCTGTGGAAGTTGAAAGTTCACCAGAGACTACAAAACAATGCAGTCAGAAACAACAGAACAAAAATAGCAAAATCCTCGAATTTCTTTTTCCAAAACAAAATGCAAAAAGTTAAAATTAAATTCAAGTAATTCTACAAGTAAATCATAAGAAACCCCGAAAAGTGCCTATTAGGACAGAAACGGTGAGAAGAAGCGCAACGGTTTCCGCGTAGAAGATAAATGGTACGGACCTCGAGATTGAAGAGAGTGGAGTAAGGGAGTGAATCCTTCGATTTCGGTCTGTGATCCATGTGGTGCGACGCGACTACGTTGCGAACAAAGGAACCCTAGTTTTTGGACGAAGCATGAGAAGAAGTAGAAGAACAAGTAGAAGAAGAAGAAGAAGAGTAACCCTAAAAGGAAAAAGGTAAACGGAGTGGTGCGCAGGATAAGGCGAGGGAAAGAGACGAGAAAGAGTATCGAGAATGGAAGCACTGACGCTGGCTAACATGCGCTGGGCAGGTGACACTAACGCTAACGTGCGCTTCCCTGTGTGTCACGATTTTGACGGTGGAATTTCCCGTGTATAGACGGCGGGAGGAGACGGAAGGGAAATGGAATAATCTTCTCAACCGTAAAAAAAAATTATAATAATAACTCTTACAATAACATCGTATTATTCTTCATGAAATTCAATCTTTAATTTGTTGTATATCAATAAATTAATTCTTTTTTAATTTAATTAGTTAAATATCTCATCCTATATATTGATTTATAATTTTTTTTACTATAATTTTGATTCAGATTTATAAATATATAATATAAATGCACTCTAATATAATAACATAATAACTGTTTTAATTATATGTTCGAAAAATCGCTAATCTTTTTTAAATTGTGAATGATGATAGATATTATATTTTTATATATATGATTAAAATAAAAATAATATTCATCACAAAAATCTTATAAATTCATTTAATCAAGTTGTGAAATCATTATAATAATTATTAAGTTAAATAGTTATTTTTGTCTTGTTTTTTTTTAATTTCATTTCACTATAATATCAACATAATAAATATAAAATTTATGTTTAGATTATATATTATTTATAACCTATCAAGGTATATATATATATATATATATATATATATATATATATATTTAACATTAACATTAAAAATAATATTGAAACAAAATTTTTAAAAATAGTTAACCTAAAAATTATTTAATTAAGTCATAAATTTAAAATATAAATAAATCAAATTTGGATAATAAACAAATGATATAAAATATCATAATTTTAAATCCATACATATTTAATATATAATTAATAATCTATTAATTGATTCAATAATATATATATATATATATATATTAAGTGTTAATTAAATTAAATAATATTTTTATGTGTTAAAAAAAGTAAGCTGTGATTTTATGACTAAATTTATTTTATGATCTATAATATCTAATAAATTTAGTGCACAAATATAATCATATGAATTACCTTTCCGTAATAAATAATAAATTTTTATTTATTTATGAAAAATAAATAATATACTATTATAATTATTTCATAAAAAAATTATATAATATCTCTATAATAATTCATTACAAATATATAAATATTATATAATTTCAAAATAAATTTATCCTTTGTATGATTTAAAATATAAATTTTAATTAAATATTTAAAATTAAATTTCATAAAATTATCATTATAGAATCACAATAACTTAATATTGAAATTCACCAAACATCATTTGATTATCTAAATAGTATTTTTCTTGTTTTATTTATTTAAATAGATTTATTTACTGTATAAGATCAGAATTGGATTTGCAGATAACCAAATTTCAAATAAAAATTCATATGGTTGAATTCTGAATTGCGTTTTGAATATTTTTTTTAATCAGGGATATATATATTTATTAAGTATGTATATATATTTTTATATGAATTTACTATATATATATATATATATATATAATATAAATTTTAATATATATATATATATATATATATATTTAAACATATTTATATATTTTGATATTTATATAAATTTAATAAATATAGATTTATATAATAAGATATTAATACATATTTATATAATATTTTTTAATATTTGTGTATAAATTTAATAAATATTATATAATAAATATATTTAATAAAGATATATTTATATATATATATATATTTTATAAATATATAGTCATATATATTTATATATTTAATAAATATATATTTATAATGTTATATTTGTAGATATTTATGTTATAAGTATAATTAAGATATATCTTTTTAAATTTAATATATCTATCATCTATATTTCAACCGTTTCTTCTTTAGAATCACCATATTTTATTTGTAAACACATATGTATATTATATATTCGATATAAATAAGTTCTCATGACTCGCACGTGTTATTATTTATCTTATCTTATTATTCATATATCAATTTATTCATTAATAATAAAAATAATCAAAATTTATTAAATAATATAACACTATTTTTCATAATTTAAGATTTTTCATTTGAGTGAATTACATTCATTTAAACAAAATCTTTGTATAATACTCTATTACTTATTAGAAAAAATTCGCTTATGACTTGTCACTTGAATGAAATATATAATTGTTGAGTGATAGGGTCTCATTTGATAGCTTATGACTGGTTACTTGAATGAAATATATAATTGTTGAGTGATAGTCTCATTTGATCGAAATCAAAGAAGAAACAATGTTTTTTTTTTTTAAATCTTGTCATTTAAACAATCAAATTATCACTTGAAAAAAAGAGATTTTAAAGAGGATCTCACTCTTTGTGATATTTTCACTTAAACATCACAAGGTTATAAAAAGTTTCATTCATTTAAATGTCTTATTATTTAAGTAATCAAATCGTTGTTTAAAAAAATATTAGAAATGAGTTATTATTTTTATGGTATATTTCATTTAAACGACAAATTATCGTTGAACGAAATATACAAATATCAACACTTAAAATAAGTATATCAAACTCAACATATTTTAGACATTAAACATATCATAAAAGATATAAACGACGCCCTATCACTATTATTCTAAATTAATTCATTTAATTACCATTATTAATACAATAACAAATTTAAATCTAAAATAATTTTATTAAATTTTTAAACAATATAACAAAGTCATGTTTACAATTCATTACTTTAATTTAAAACTAATTTTCTTTATCTCAATCATAAATTCAACCAAGAAAAAAAAATTATAATCTCCTCAAATAACATTGATCTCCAAACTTAATCTTAAAAAGACTCAATTTTAGAAATTTGTTAGATATGTAATTGTAATCTTAAAATATCTTATATTCATCTTTATCCATATATCTCTAACTAATACTTTAATAAAGTAAATTTTTTTTTTCATTACTAGTTACAAATGTGTACTTGAATATAAAATAAAAAAAAATTGGAAGAGAGATCTAAAAAGAATATTAAGAAATCTAAAATTTAAAAAGATAATAATTTAAGCTATTTTTAACTAAGTAAACATTACAAAATTAATATATTTTACCATGATTATAGACTACAAAATTTTCCATTATTGAATTGTTCATTCATCAAAATATGTAATGCACATGTCGCATTATGCAAGTTATATATATATATATATATATATATATATATATATATATATATATATATATATATATATATATATATATATATTTATTTATTTATTTATTTATTTTAATACGTCATGTACAGTGAAAAAATATTAAACTACATATTTTAATCTTTAGCATTCCACGTATCAAATACTTATTTTACATAACTAAAATCTATAATCATTTATAAATTATATTGTAATTAAAAATTATAGTAAATAAAAACTTATATATATATATATATATATATATATATATATATAAAAGAAAAAACACAATTCACTTTAAGAAAGATAATTATCACCATATAAAAAATATATAGTATGTTGTTCAACGAAATTTGTTTGTTATTATTACGACAGTTATCTTGGATTTATTTAGAATACTTAATATTATCAATATATTATTTTTAAGTATTAATATTTTATTTCAAAAATATGAAATTCAAGTTAAAAATCTAAAGAGGTTGAATACAATGAATTGAAAAAAAAAATTGAGATAGAATTAGCTAATATATCATGTAGGAATCTATAGAATACAATTGAAGACTAAATAAAAACACAAGAAAATATATTAAATGCAAATTAGGAGTGCATTAGGATTTTAAAATTAAAGTATATTTTAAATATGACATTCTAAAACAAATTAATGGTTGAGAGGAGTATTTATAATTTTTAAACTTAAAGTCATTGATTTCTCTTATGATTTAAAAAGAAAATACAGGAGTGGAATCACAAATCCAATCTCTCTCCCTTCTATAAAAGGACAAATCATCACTATCTCTTCCACCAGCAAGGGAGAAACAAAGCAAAACAACTTACTACAAGCACACCAAAAACATAACTCAGAACACAATAAAGGTGCTTGACCCTGCTCTCATCAGGTACCCTTCAGGCTTCATCTGTCCATACTCCATTTAAAAACTCCAATTTCCTTCACATCTTCATACAAATATTTAAGTAGGCTTTGCATTCTGCGTAGGTCTATATAACCAAACTTGTCTTCCAGCATTTTTCTGTCTTGGCCTTGCATTTTCCTCATATCCCTATGGAAATTTGTGATTAGATAAAGAATGTAGTACTACGTGCATGCTTACTTGTTATATGACAATCCATGATTAGATGAGAATGTAAAATAATCTTTTACTCTGTCAGTGTATTTTAATTAAATTAAAGAACATTTGGTTTAGGAAACTTTGTTTTTTTTGTTTTTGAGAAATCTGTAGTGGGGACCTATTTACTTACATGATGAACAGCTTCTTTTAATGCTCTCAACTGCGCCCTTGAGACTGTCCTCACCTGTAATACACATGAAACATGAGTTTACAAAAGAGGGTGTTTAGTACATATCAGTCTACACTAGCTTGTAAAAATATGTTGTGAAAGAACAGAACCTTATTCACTATTGTCCAAACAACACCTTCAGTGCATGGTGGAGTTGTAAGAGAACCAACATATCTGTAGTACTTTCTGCTTCCAAACTGGATGATTCCTGGGTTTATTACTCCTAAATCTATGTCCTTGTCACCAAGTGATTTTAAGTTACTGAGCAGCTGCAAAAAGTTTTTGTTAAAAAATTGGAATTAATCATTCCTGCACAATACACCATCATTTCCAGCACCAAATTATATTATATTTGAGATTACAGGATCACAACAGGGGCAAAGTGAGCTTATAATTTAAAGGGAGAGAACTGCGTGCACTTAAATTAACATATTTGCAGACATTCATTTCAACTGCATAGCACATGTATGAGTAGTCTATAAACTATAGTCATGTATGTATGTATCTATAAATATTGACAAATAATGTTGAGAAATGTAGAAAACCTTTGAAAGCAAGCGATCTGGACGGCCAATTATATACCATATTCCAATGACAGCAGTCTCTCCTTTAGAGTTTTGATGGACTACATGAAGTTCCAACTCAAACCTAAACAACAATCAGAAGAATTAATCATGTGAATTCAAGCCAAAAAGTGTTTCACTACCACTACATCAAGCAGTTGCAGAAGCTACATGAAAAGGCAAACTCACTTTCTTCCATTCAACGTGTGTTCTGAAGGTGTGTGCCAATGACACTGAATCAGTTTGTAGTAAGTTCCATTTATGTTAATCTGGCCTGCATTCCCATTCCATTTCATCTGTCAAAACATTAAGCACAAATATTAGTTCATTATGAAGATATGTCTCAGATCTTAGGAAGTATTGATCTCTATTGGCAAGTACTTCTACATATGTGAATATAAAAGCTTTGTCCTAGTTGATGAGTTCCTTTTAAAAAGTAGAATTTTCAGTGTATTGATGTTGCAATATGATGCAACTTCTTAGTTCTTGGTCTAAAACTGATTCTGAGTTTAAATCATTTGTTGTATTAGATAAAAAAAAGTAGTTCTAACTTCTTGAATAAAAACATTTACACATAAATCACTTCACTTCAAAATCAATTTTAATAATCTCTTATCAATTTTTGCAAATGGTGATCCTAATATTCAAATGGTGGTGGTTTAGTGCCTCACCATGATGGCATGACCCGTATTCTTTAGGACAGCAGGAGCTGGTTTGTAATTTTTTGCAAGTTTACCCAATTGAGTAAACTCATGCATTACTTTGTATGAGAGATCAATGGGAGATTGTTGTTTTCCTTCCCCACATACTTTCCATTTTGGGTTCAGAAGCCACCAATTCTGTGGCCCTTTGCTACTTCCTTCTTCGTAGGTAAATTCTACATCTTCTGTTCACACAAAGGAGAAGCCAAGGTCCAATTCAATAAACAGAAATGTGGCATTACTAATAAGTCCAATTTTTATTCAATAGCCCTGATTGGAATTGAACCAATATTGGAAGAGCCTTAAAATGTTCCAAGACATGTGAACAGTTTGTCTCTTTCCCTTTTTTCAGCAATTTTCTATTTAAACAATGAAGGGTATGTTAAGTTCTTTGAGAAAAAAGATGTCAAATAGAGAGACAAAGAACCCTTTATAACAGAAGGAAATAAGGGAAAACCCTAGTGAAAAAAGGTATATAGCTTCACAAATATGGGAAGAGAATATTAATTTATGATGTGAACTCGTATCAGATAAACGAGGAAGAATGGTTATTTAGTGACTCCAAAAGGAAGTTGAAAATAAATTATTAATGTTGATTAACATAAAAAGAAACGTAAAGGGTTTTCTTTTGATGTCTCTTCCTTAATTCTAAATCACATTTAATAAGCCAATGGTGAAAGGAAACCAAAGGAATAAAAAATCAACTAAAGGAGAACAAATGGTTGTACCTATGAATGCTAACAGTATGCAAAGGACAAAGTTTGATCGTTAAGAAATCACACAACACAACCAGTGTGGATATCATTCTCATGAAAATATTCATTAGTAAAATCGAAGAAATAATTGTCAACCAAGATCTTCAATCACAAGATAAAACAGTTTTTCTTAAGGTTATAAATTGGAACAGAAGGAAAATCATATTTCTTTTACTAGAGAATTTAAATTTCATTGGAAAAACAATCATCAAGATTCGTGCATATAACAGCTATCAGAACACACACCCAAAAAAAACTGGCAAAACATGATATTTGTGAGGAACATGAAGATAAAGATTACTAACATCTCTGGTTCCCTTTGCCAAATGATGTATGACAACAATGATATATACCTTCTCAATCTGAAATTCTGGAACATGAAGAAAAAAAATCATACCAGCTTTAGCTAATGCAAGGGAGGAAGAGGAAAAGAGAATGAACAGCAGGAGGAGCACAGAGAAGAAGCCGAGATTGGTGTGGAGATTCATTGTGCTAGTTGTGACTGTGAGTGTTTGTTAGTGATGAACATCTAATGCATGTGCATGCGTGTGTATATATATATATACAAGGAGGGTATCTATTACATACGAGTTTGTGGTTTTGAAGATTTACAATTACAAGAATATTCTCACATTCTCACACCCAATAACCTCGTTCCCTTTGAACGTCATTCACGCCTTCTTAGCCAATGTGGCCAACTTTCAAGAACAAGTTACTGTTATGGAATGCAGAAACCAAATGGTCAATTAGTTAATTAATGCTATATTAATTTTAATTAATAACTTATTAACTCGCATATTCATTTTTCTTCCTCTTGAACTGGTGTATTGGTTTTATTTTATGTTATGAAATGCAGAAACCAAAAGGCCATTAATTTTAATAACTAATAAGTTATAAAGTGTTATATTTGTTTTATTTTATTTTATTTTATTTTTTATGTATGATGGATATATTTATGGTATGGTTATGGAAAATTCAATAATATATACTGTGATATATAATTTATTATAAGTTTTATCTAAAATATTTAAAATAAAATGAAATATCACATTACAAATAAATAAAATATATATTAAATTATTTATATGATTTTTATAATTACTTTTATATTTATGATATTTTATTAAAATAATATATATATATATATATATTAAAATTATAAAAATAAAAATAAATAACTATTTATCTAAATAATGATGATTTTGTAAAATAATATATTTTGAACAAGAAAAATAATTTCTTTCCGCTCATTTTTCTATACCAATATTTTTTTACTCTATATTTTCCTTATAAACCAATGGAACCTTAACAAGGTGAAGCGTATCTTAACTTGTAATATAAAGTATCACTTTAATAATCTTTAATAATTACTATTTAAACATTTTACATTCTTTCTAATCGAGTTCAAAATAGTATGAGATCAAATTTCATAACTCTCCCAAATCATGTAATATATATATATATATATATATATATATATATATATATATATATATATATATATATAAGCAAATTTTCACTTAATTATATTTTTAATTAATTAAATAATTATTGTATCCATAATAATATCTTATTCAGTCACTATAATATAAAATAAATAAATATAAAAAATAATATAGAGAATAATATTATAAAACACATGTTTCTTATTTATAACACTATATTTATTTACTATTAATACATCTACATGAATTTTTAGTTTAAATTCAAATTTGTTAGCATGTTTCACATTATAAAAAAATTGTATGGTAATGGAGTATTGGAATTTAATTTCATTATATTTAAAAATGTGGTATTTTATTTGTGAGTTAAAATATATATATATATATATATATATATATATATAATAAAAATTGATTTGTATATATTGTTTCCATAATTTTTATTTTGCAGCATGGAAGAAAAGAATCTTATTTCCACTATATATATAGTGAAAGGTTAACTTTTTCTGGACAAAGAAAATCACATATAATTATTATGATGATACTTTTATTTCATTTTAAGCATCTTTGCAAGATCTTACCAATTTCTTATATTCTTGCATTAGGAATGTTTTTTCTACTTGTTCGGTAATGCAAGCAAGAATTTTTTCTTACTGGTTTTGCTTAAAGTTTAAGTTGTCATTTATCCCTTTTTATATTTAAGATTGGTTAATTATTTAGGAGCGGAAATAAAAGATAATTTATATATATAATTTTTTTAATTTATTTGAATATTTTTTTAAAACAGCACAAATGATATTTTCAAAATGGATAATATTTTAAAATTAGACACGATTTACATATTTATTTTTCACATGATTAACAATATTATTTGAGTGTACAAATTCAATCTGAAATACATTTAATACTTAAAATAACTTTCATTTTTTGTTTTGAAATTCAAATTTATCTTTTACTTGAATTAAGTATACCTATTTCTTAGTTTTTAATTCACGATATTGTTTGTAGTTTATTGACATATAGTACAATTTAATATTATAACGTATAAATTTCAAATAAAAATAGTATTTTTAATTATAAATACATAATAAATGCTATAACGTATTGAATAAATATTATAACGTATTTTTAATAAGTTATTGATCTTTGATCCTTATAAGTTAATTTTTTTATTTAATATAAGATTTTAATTTATATTTGAATTTTTATCCATATAAATGGAAAAAGTTTTATTTACAAATATAATATTTTAAAGTTTTGAAATGTCAAAAATTCATTATATATATATATATATATATATATATATATATATATATATATATATATATATTATAAAGGCCACCGAGAATTACGACTAAACTTTATTTAAACGAGAATAAAAATTAAGTAAAAAAAAGATTAAGAAAAAGAAATGACAAAAAAATTTATTTTTATTTATTATTACTATTTTTTTCTTTAATTATTTATTGTAATAATAATATTTATTTCTTGAATTAATTATTTAATACAATTATTATTTATTTATTATGAAAAACATGATAAAAAACTCAATTTAAAGAAAAAAATAATTATTTCTTTATAATATCTATCTGAAATAATTAATTATATTTATTTCTTCTCAAATTTCTTCGTAAAGGTGTGGAAAGGAAGGATTTTTAGCCCTTTCTTGAGTTTTGCACTTTGAAATATGTGTTTCTTTAAAAAAAAAAAAAAGAATCCGTTTCTATAGTTTTTAAATAATAAAAGGACTGAATTCAAAACTCAAATTGAGAGAGATAAAAATAATAATTAAAAAAAATCTTCTAAATTTAGAGAGGCGTTTTCTTTAACACAAGATTTGTCAAAACTAAAAAATATTATTTAAATGACTAAAAATATACAGCAATTATTTATCTATAATAATATATAAAATATTTATTTTGTATTTTTTTTCATCAAAACAGAAAAATAAAAATATCATAAATGATAATATAATAAAAAAAAACAGTTATTAAGAGAGAGAAAATTTTTTTGAGAAAAAATTAAATAAAAATTTTAAAAATTAATTATACAAAAAGTGGATATACATGTCATGTGTTTCTACGGGTTTAGGTAAATAGAAGAGAAAAAATTAGATAAATTATACAAAAGTTAGATAAATTATTTTATTCAAAACTGCACATAATTTTTTATTTATATTATTAATAAATAATAAACAAATACGAAAAGATAAAAAAAATGAAAATATAAAAAATAAAAATTATAAATATATAAAAAATATTTAATAAACATTAAATTATTTAAAGGATTAAAATCATAAATATATACAAAGATTACAAAATTTTAAAAGAATCATCACCTCTACTCCCAAAAGATTGAAACCACTGGTTGGACAAGCAAATAAAAAACAACTGATTACTAAAAGTAACACACCAAGATTCCTCGTGACCATCTATATAGTCCATACAAACAACCCTTCTTGTTATCTGCTTATTTCCAACATTAGAAGAAGCACTTCACTTCCCTTCACATCTTTATACTCATATTAAGTAGGCTTTTTCTTAATGTTATATAACCAAACTTGTCTTTCATTAAGTGCCTGTGTTGGCCTTCCATTTTCCTCATATTCCTGTGAAACACAGATAAGACTTGTACGTTGTTGAATATCAAAATTTCATAATTATAACTTCAATATAAAAAAGATGAGACTTGTACTTTTTATGCTCACTTATAGGCAATTTAGATTTGTTCAACAGATCTAAAAGACATTTTGGCACAAATGTAAACTGCCATATGGCACCAACTATACACTAATGCAGCCTACTCTGCATATAAGAGTTTGTATCCCAACATTCTTACAGCAGAACATCACCACCAATACTTTGATATCCTTAGCAATAAGTCTACTGCTAACAGCAGAGCCAAAATTCAGAGCACCAGTGGATATTTACCTTTTGCTATTCTGCACATGTTGACCAATACTATTCATCCATACTACCACATACCATGTAATCTTCCCATGTTCTATGGCCACAGTTATGCAACCATAGATGAATCCACAATTCTGCCACTATATTTATGTTATCTTACTGTACAACCCCTCCATACTGCTTCTGGCACCTCAATAATGATGTTTCCTTTAACGATAGCTAACTAGCTCCTCAAACATACCTTAGATATATAGATTGTGCATTGAGGCACAAATCAAAGAATGAAAAAGTAGTGTTTTGAACACTACCACTAATCTATACCTATGTTCTCGGATGTTTCAATCTAAAAATTTTCCCACCTTAAGAAATACAAGTATGATTCTAACGTTGATCAAGAATAAAAAAGTTAAACAATATATAAAACTTTATTTTAAGATTTTGGGTTAAGAGTGGTGGTAGTATCAATCTTTATGTAGGTTGGACTGTGTCTTGATCATAGTTTATGTTATTACTGTTTGTTTCATTTTCTCTTGCTCCTTTCCTCTTCCAACTTGAGACTTTTAAATAAAACTATTTTATTTACTTATGATGAAGATGAAATTGATAATATTTTTATTTCTAAATAATAAATAGGTATTGTTAACTTTTATTTTACATTTAAAATTTTTTTAAGTCATATATACATTTTCAGAAATATATTTAATATGTTTAATTTAAATAATATGTATCTGTGCATCATAGTGTCACCCAAGTCCTCCTCCTCCTCTTCCATACAGGATTGCCTTTTTCACTTAGACCCAACATTGAATGTTGCTGCAGGTACTATTTCATATAAATTCCATATCCTAAGTGCAATTGCATAGTTGAAAAATAGATGATTAACCATTTCTACTTCGCATCCACAAATACAACATGATACATTAGTTTATCTTAGTAGCAATTCTGTTCAAAACAAGTCTCCAAACATTGTGTACACCTTTTTGTACCCTAGACTCCTTATATTTAGACATAGAGTCTTCATTAGTGTCCTTCATTCCCTTCTCTCATGTATTTTCTATTATCCGTTTATGATTTACATCCCTTACCTCCACTTCCTCCAATTTTTCAACAGAGTATTTCATTGTCATTGCAAGTGAACCCCAAGGTTTTCCCCATATGCCATAATTTGCTTTCTTCAACAATCCTAAACTTTCATGAATCTTCCAGAAAAGTTATTCCGGTACTCATTTCAACTTGCAAACAAATAAAATTTGCAAGAGTAGTACCATTTTCTCAAAAATATGGAGTGCATGAAGCAACTGCTATTTCTCAATGTCGCTTCTCTTACACTATGTGGATTGTTCCAAATGGGTGGTTCTGAACAAATTCTAGATCAGTTGATCTAGAATATATAATTTTCCTTTTTTAAGTTTTGGACTGCACAATTTAGAATATAGAAAATATTATATTTGCGTTGTGGTTGTAGAGAGCAGTGTTTATAGTCCACACAAACACCATCATGTTCTTATTTATCTCATCTAATCCCATCTCAGAAATATCCATGCTTTTTGCTATATAAACTTGATAATGTGTGTTTAATCTTTGTTTTTCTTTTAGGTTCCTCTTCCATTTTCTAACTTGTTGATTTTTGCAATGCAAGTCTTAATTATATGACAAACAATGTATATATACAATGTGAATGTATTTTAATTAAAAATTAGCAAAATTTGTTTAACAAATCTAGTTAGTGCTTAATTTGCATGCTTACATGACGAATAGCTCCTTTCAAGGCACTCAACTGCTCCGTTGAGACTGTCCTCACCTATAACACAAATGCCGCATTAAAGTTTAAAAAAGTTAAAAAAAGCGAGTCTTTGCTTAGTTTAAGAAAATCAAGTGAAAGTATACAACCTTTTTCATTATTGTCCAAACAACACCTTCAGTACATGGTGGAGTTGTAAGAGAACCATCATATCTGTAGTATCTGCTTCCAAACTTGATGATTCCTGGGTTTATTTCTCCTACATCTATATCCTCGTCGCCAAGTGATTTTAGTTTCTCCAGCAGCTGCCACAAGTTTCAGCAATGAAAAGAACTAAGGGAATCTTTATTCATGATCTTCTCTTGTTCACAATCATGGTTTTGTGTGGTTTTCGTTTGAGCTTTCTTACTCCCTCCATCACCATGACAATTTTAGAGAAATATGACTTTTGTGTTCAATTTAATGGCAAGAATAATACAATTTGAGGATTTCAATTCAAAATGTATGTTAAAGGAAAAGATTATGGGTTCATTCGCATCGACAGTTTGTACCACCGACAAAGCAAACAATCTTAGATATGTGAGAAGTAAAAGATAAACAAACTATTTCTTGGATTCTCAATATTATTGATCCCTAAATGATCAATAATTTAGTAAGTATATAACGTTAGTCAGCGAGATCAATTTTTCATAAAATTTTGTCCAGTGTTTGTAGCTATCAGAGTTGCTTTGTTGAATAGGAACCCTGATTCCTTGGATAATTTGTTAGTAAACTTAGGGAGGAAAAACGGTTACTTACCCCCTCATGATTTTGCTCTTTCTAAACCCACATATACTACCCAAAGTAAAAACATAGGTTGTGATATACGATAGATCCATTGTTTTTCCTACAACGATTTGTGCTTACGGTTCGTAACTATAATTAAGTGTTGATTGTCCCACGCGTCCTTCAAAAAAAACTCGTCTTCCTAGTCATGATGCATCTAACATTGATGTTTTATAACTTGAAATGATCGAACAAATAGTACTTTAAATTCTTTTATCCTTAGACATTTAGGGTAAGTCTTCTATTATCTTTAATCCATGTTTCTTGATTTTGTAGCATCGAATCATATGACGTATTCTTCAAAATTCTTACTAAAATATACATTCTTATCATGGTTTCATTTATGGTTATACTCTTCCTATCACTGATAGTAGTGACATAAATTCTTATTTTCAAAATGTGCTAGAATTATATGATCTTGCTTCAAGCGTGTTATCTATTGGTCGATTAGTTGACAAGAATTATAATATTAACTTTTCTTGGACTGGTTGTCTTATGCAAGAATAAGTATTAGAGAAGTTGATCAGAGAGGGAGCTAAGGAAGATTGTTTCCTCTTTGGTTTATTTCTCATTACTTGTCTTTTACTTGTAATAATATTTTGAATTCTTATGAGGACTGACATAAAAAATTGGACCATTTTAACTATGTTGTTTTTCTCACTTGTTTAACTTGGACCATCTTTTTCGTGTGTGCTCATCATTGTTTTGAAATGCTTCATAGTAATGTTTAGGATATGTTTTTTGTGACTGATCATGCTTACCATAAATATTTTTGTTATGTTTATTGATAATTACAATGATTTTACTAAGATATATTTTCTTCAATCTAAATCTAAAGTGCTTTCCATGTTTAAGAAATTTATGACATGTTGAAAATTAGTTCCAAACCAGTATTAAAATATTTCGTTCTGACTCAGATGGTGAATACATGTCCCATATGTTTCAGGAGATTCTTTTGCATCATGTCTCAACCTCTTGTCCCAATATTCTTAACAAAATGACATTGTAGAATACAAGAACTGTCATTCACTTGATGTGACCTCTACATTGTTTTTCCAAGCCTCTTTTTCATCCGGATTTTGGATAGAGATCTATCCAGTGTTGTTTTCTTAACCAATTTATGGTTATTGGTTTAGACTCTTTTTTTTTTTCGTATATTTAAGACTCATCCTAACTATAGTGTTTTACAAATTTTGATTGCGCATGTTTTTTATTTATTTACCTCTACTTGAATGACATATGCATGAGGCTTAGTTTGATCAATATGCATTCTCATGAGAGTTCGTGTGTTATGATATTTTTAACCATCTTTTTCACATGTCCAAGAAAGTAACATTCTTAGATAATCAATTTTTGTTTCTTTGTTTTTCTCCTACTTCAAATAATGTTGATATTCTTGTAAAGTTTTCTCCCCTTTCTCCATCTATTGATCGCCATGTTCCCGTCCTCTTTCGACATTGATCCGCTACTTGTTTCGGTACCCGTTACACTTAGCCAATCTAGCATAATTACTTGATATATGCTAAGTAAAGCAAATGAATGATGAAATTCATGCAGATTAGTCATACTCTACACAAGTCAAGTATAAATAAATTCACAAACAAAGGTTTGAGAAATATAGCAAACCTCTGAAAGCAAGGGATCTGAATCGCCAATTTTATACCATATTCCAATGGCAGCACGCTCTCCTACAGAATTTTGATGGACTACATGCAGTTCCAAGTCAAACCTAAATAACAAACAGAAGAATCACGTCAATTCAAGCCTAAAGAGTTTCACTATACCACAGCATGAAGCAGTTAAAGTAGCTGAATGATCAACGGCAAACTCACTTTGTTCCATTCAATGTGTGCTCTGAAGGTGTGTGCCAATGACATTGAATCAGTTTGTAGTTAGTTCCATTAAGGTTAAGCTGGCCTGCATTCCCTTTCCATTTCATCTGTCAAAACATTAAGCACAAAGTTTAGTTCATTTTCCAAACATGTCTCAGCTCTCATGGAAGTATTGATCCCTATACGTGACTAGAAAAACTTAATTCATGTCAATAAGATTGTTGATTCTGCATTAAAGCAATTGTTGTTTTAATCTCTTTTCAATTTTGAAAATGGTCAATGGCTCACCTCGATGATATGACCCGAATTCTTTAGGACAGCACGAGCTGGTTTGTAATCCCTTTCAAGTTGACCCAATTGAGGAAAATGCACCACTTTGTCTGAGATATCAATGGGAGATTGTTGTTTTCCTTCCCCACATAGTTTCCATTTTGGGTTCATAAGCCACCAATTCTGTGGCCCTTCGCTACTTCCTTCTTCGTAGGTAAATTCTATGTCTTCAGTTTACACAAGGGAGAAGCCAAGGTCAAGTTCAGTAAACAGAAACGAGAAATTGTTAATGGTTCCAATTGTTAATCTATAACCTTTATTTAGGAAATGGACAATGAGATATTAGAATTGGAAAACCCTTACAATGTTCCAAGATATGTAGAATTTGTCTCTTACCCTCTTTTCACCATTTTTTAAACTTAGCAATAACGGGTAAAAGTTATGAAACTTGCACTTAAACAACGAAGATATGTAACAAAAGGATATTGCCCAGATAACATGCACTTAAACAATGAAGATATGTAACAAAAAGATATGTGAAGAGACCACTAATTTTTTATTTGGTGAATAATGCGTGGTGGTTTCGTGACTCCCAAAAGCTGTAAATCCATTTGATGGTTCTTCCTAAATTCTAATTCACATTAGCAAAGGGCAAAAGTAAACCAAAGGAATGAAAAAATCAACCAAAGAAGAAACAATTTGTTGTCCCATGAAGGCATCCTGTCTGCAAAGAACAAAGCTCATGCTGGCTGTTCATTAAGAAATTATAGACAATCAGTTGGATTTCTTTCTCATGCAATAGTAAAATCCAAGGAACAATTTTCAGATCAAGATCTTCAATCACAAGATAAAGCAAATATGATTAAGGTGATGATTCAATCACAAAATATAACATGGGATTCATATACCAGCTTTAGCTGATGTAAGGAAGGAAGAGGAAAAGAGAATGAACAGGAGGAGGAGAACAGAGAAGAAGCTGAGATTGGTGTGGAGATTCATTGTGCTAGTTGTGACTATTGTGTGTGTAATAGTCATGAACATCTATTGCCTGTGCATGTTGGTGTTCTTGTGTCTATGTGGTGGTTCTTGTGATTTTGAAGATTTACAATATATATACTACAATCTGGTTCCATTTGAAGGCTAATGTTCACACCTTGCCATCCAATGTGCCTACTTTCACGTACAAATTTTTATGAGCATTGAGAAATGCAGTGATAAAAATGGTAGTTACTTGTGACTGGTTAGGACAACTTGTATTTAAGAAAGACGAGGATAATAAAAACTCTAATAAAGTTAGTCTTAAAATAAATGGATTTCATGTTATGATAAGGTTATGGGAGAAATACCACCTGTTTTTTTACCAATGATGGAAAAACTGTAATCAAGGAATTATGAATGTGTATGATTAGAAGTAAATATTATTCTAATTTAAATTGATTACTGATACTTTTAACACATAATAATAATAATAATAATAATAAGTTAGTTTACAAGGGAAATGTTCACTTTATTTAATTCATTGCATTGTGTAATGCTGTACGTTTGAATATTATTTTCATGATTTCAATAATAGCTTTTTAATAAATCTGTATGTTATTTGAATTTTATTTGCGTGTGCTAAATTTTTATTTTTCATTGTTCGGTATATAACGTTAATAAAAGTCATATAACATTCACTTGTTTGATTTGTAAGTTTGAATGTAATTTTCATGATTAAATTTAGTCATTTGATTTACTGTAAGTTTAGTTTTTAACTTTCCATTCGTCAGTTTGAATAATTACGCGATTATATGTTCATGTTATATCAAATTATAAACCATGTTTATTAAATTTAAGATTATTTCACGAAATAAAGAGAATATTTTTAATCGTTTTTTATTTGATTGTTTATAATATTTTTATGATACGTTATTAAAAAAAAGAATATAATATATATTCAGAGTGACAAAAAAAAGAACAAATATCACGTATAAAAGTGGAATAAGAAAATATGATATATATTAAAAGATATATTTAAAAAATTATTAATATATATATATATATATATATATATATATATATATATATATATATATATAATGCTGAAATTATGACAATGAATTGATCAGAATTGTTTTAGACAAGGTAAGCACAAGTTTTTGATCGTATGGTTATGAGGGTAAAGATATTTGGACTATAAATTATTATTATTATTATAATTATTATTATTATTATTATTATTATTATAAAAAGACTTTATATAAAAAAATTAATGGTCAAATTATCATTTTTCTATCGATAAACAGTTTCAGAACAAAATAATAATGCATGAATTAATTAACTTGTGTATTATTTCGATTTATTAAAACTGTTACAAATATCAATGATTTTGAAATGAAAATCAAAATATTATCAGCACAAAAAATTAAAAACAAAAAATATCAACAAAAAAAATATTAAGCAATATAAATAACTAAGATTTACAATCTATAAAAATTATATTCACATTGTTATGTAATAAAGATATACGTAGTAACGTTTATAACCATTTCATTCCAATAAATTACATTCGAAACTTCTGTAAATTTCTTTTACTTCATGATTTATTTGTTTTATCATTTACATTCAAACAATTTATCACTTTCTACATTTCGGTCATTTATTTCAGTTGCAAACATTTACTATGATGTTTGCCTACTTATTTCCCTACTTTTATCCACTTTCTACTTTAAAATGAACTTAACATGAGGCTGTATTTAATACACCGCAAACACTTACATAGACTAATTTAAACCAATTAAGATGTTTATTTCTTTCTTTTTTTCTCAAATTAATTTTAGATAAATGTCCAAACAAACCCATTTACTAATAGATGTAAAGAATCAATATCAATATTTCATCTAAGCTCTTCAGTCATTTGTATACAAGAGAAAAAATGTTGAGGCAGTTTTCAACTTTGTCAAGGGGTTTGTAATTTGGGTGGAATAGAAAATATATTTCCTTGCATTTCTCTTCGGCAGAAACATATCCTATTAATATTCTGTATGCAGATAAAAACACTAATGCCATGATAACCACAACATAACCTGTGACATTTGAGGCATTATGAAGGCCCAGGTACACTGACTCTTTCTTTTGTGTTTGCCCGACTTTCTGTATAAATAATCCCTTGCCCTGTGAAATAACTCGTCCACTAACAAATGGAGATCAACTGTTGGTGAAGCACATAACTCACTGTTGGCGGAGTCTGTTCTTGCCTCATTTCCCACGCCTCACTTCAACGAATACAGCTTGCATAAATCACTATAGCATGCTTGCAAAATCTTCGTACAATCTTATTTAAGAGATGGCCTGGGTCAGACCCGAAAAATAAAACAATCATGGCCTGAGTTACACCAGAAGAATATATATATATATATATATATATATATATATATATATATATATATGTATATGTATATATATATGTATATGTATATATATATATGTATGTATATATATGTATACACACACCAGTACAGGACTCAATCACTTTCAATCAAATTGAGTACAGGAATTATAGTTACCTGCAGAAGCAGATTTAAGCCTCTTTTCATACCATCATGAAACTTGGGGTCTATCAAGAATGAGAAGGTATCTCACTTTCACCAGGTAAAGGAAACTTGATGTCCATGACATGATTATCCTCTCACCATCGAGAATAAGAATGTCCATATGTCTTCCACTGGTCCCATCCACTTCGTCTGTTAGAAGTTTTGTCAGAGGGAGATTTGTAACCATATGATCTTCCATAACCATAAGCATCTGAAGATCTCCTGCTTGTGCCACCTCTATTATTTAACTTCCAAGCTTTCCTTATCTCCTCTTCCAAATCATACTCTGAGCGCTGATATCCACAAAGGTAGAAACTTATCAGTTTTATATAATTACAACTGGAGAAATATATATTACTGTTGTCAAGGTTGTTAAAAACTTAACGAGTCCAACTAAACTTGTTACAATTGTTCGTTAAGATAATCCAGTATTATAACCTATCCACTGCCAAGTATTGGGTATGGTACTTACGTAAAATAATAGACAGTGTCATTATTTCCTACCTACTCTTTCAAGAGAGGAACAAAACAGATGTTACAAAAAATTAATCATAATGTACTATATATAAAAGAAAACTAGTATAGATGTAAAAGTTCAGAAAATTACTGCCGAGCTACTTGTTAGCTCTGTTCGCAAAAAAGCTAGCAGCACAAAATGTTTGCTCCAGCTTGAAAATAAATGTTTTAAGACAGGAGTGAACTTGGGAATTTCAGTAGACATGTTAATGCTTAGAAAGATAATACAGTAAGCCATTCAATCATTATTTGTCAACTATCTCGCTTGCCCGCCCAGATCATATTCTCTGACTATATTTAATAATGCATTCAGATTCACTAACTAGCAAAAATAATCATGTATATAACCTTTGCTGGGTCTGAAAGCACAGCATATGCTTCTCCAATCATTTTGAAAAGCTTATCAGCATCCTTGTACACCTCCTGTGAGATTTCCTTCCAAACACGGCCATCATCTCCAACTTCACTTCTTGCCAACAAATGACCAGCCTAGATTCAAACCAAATTTTAAAAAATAAATAAAAAGATAAACAAATTCCAAGTACAAAATTTTTGAAAGGTTTATGTGGGCATCTCTCCTTTATGCCCCAAAAGCAAATGAAAACAGTTATATTAAGGTAACTATATTGCAGACGCAGAAAGACATGAACCTTGTCTGGATGATGTCTAAGAGCTGCCTTGTGGTATGCCTTCTTGATATCTGTTGCTGTATCATCTGATTTGATTCCTCTGGTGTTGACATTGTAAAGAACAGAATTTAGATTTGGATACTCAGAATTAGCAACTAGGAGTAATAGAAAACTGGGGAGGTAAATGCATTGATTGGAGATTGACAAATGTATTGGTACATGAGATAAATAAAGTGACAATAGAGATGGGTGTAAGTTTTTAATGGACCATTACAAAATAAATGCATGGAAAGGTTGTTCCTTGTGTAACTAGTTACATAACAGTTACATGCAACAATGTATAATACACAAATGGTTTATGAGATGAAGCTGAGATTGGATCGTGGGATCAATGATATATTGAGAGCCAATTTAGTTCTTCACACTCATCACATCAAATAGGGAACTAGCATGACGCAGGGCACCTAACTTCCATTGCAACCATAAGAGGGGAAATTGAAGAGAAACACTTCAGTATTATTAAAAGAACTACAAAATGAAAGTAGAGTAGGAAGTAGCAACTATTGAGTGGATAGGAAAGATACCCGTTATTTTTTTCTTGCAGTCTATTGTATATCCAACTATACTGTTGTTGATAATAGTGGTTATAGTGAAATGTTACAGTACCTACACAATTTTCTAGTGACATGATCCAATTTGTTACATTTGCTACATGTCCTTGTGTAACTAGTTACATAACAGTTACATGCAACAATGTATAATACACAAATGGTTTATGAGATGAAGCTGAGATTGGATCGTGGGATCAATGATATATTGAGAGCCAATTTAGTTCTTCACACTCATCACATCAAATAGGGAACTAGCATGACGCAGGGCACCTAACTTCCATTGCAACCATAAGAGGGGAAATTGAAGAGAAACACTTCAGTATTATTAAAAGAACTACAAAATGAAAGTAGAGTAGGAAGTAGCAACTATTGAGTGGATAGGAAAGATACCCGTTATTTTTTTCTTGCAGTCTATTGTATATCCAACTATACTGTTGTTGATAATAGTGGTTATAGTGAAATGTTACAGTACCTACACAATTTTCTAGTGACATGATCCAATTTGTTACATTTGCTACATGTCCTTGTGTAACTAGTTACATAACAGTTACATGCAACAATGTATAATACACAAATGGTTTATGAGATGAAGCTGAGATTGGATCGTGGGATCAATGATATATTGAGAGCCAATTTAGTTCTTCACACTCATCACATCAAATAGGGAACTAGCATGACGCAGGGCACCTAACTTCCATTGCAACCATAAGAGGGGAAATTGAAGAGAAACACTTCAGTATTATTAAAAGAACTACAAAATGAAAGTAGAGTAGGAAGTAGCAACTATTGAGTGGATAGGAAAGATACCCATTATTTTTTTCTTGCAGTCTATTGTATATCCAACTATACTGTTGTTGATAATAGTGGTTATAGTGAAATGTTACAGTACCTACACAATTTTCTAGTGACATGATCCAATTTGTTACATTTGCTACATGTCCAATGAGTGTTGGCTCAATTGATATGATCCAATTGTGTCAATGCAAATGTCTTAGGTTTGTATTATGTTGATGGTCCTTCATTGGATGATTGTCCCCAAATATTACAGTAAACCTTTATTGAGGCTTGAGGCGCATGCCTTGATGTAGCAATTGAGCAGCCTTCGCTCTTAAACTTTGAACCAATTTTTCAGGGATTTTCCCCTTATAAGTCACAATATCATTTGTGTTATACTGGGAGATATTTAGGACAGGTAATCCCTGATTGAATAAAGAACTTACAAAATGAGGTAGACATCCAAGGGTGTCCCCTTTTTGGCTTGATCTTCCACTGAGAGAAGGCGTTGATGAGCTTGCCTTGATTCTTTCATACCTTTTGATCCATTGGGTGAGTCAGACTGTTTGTCCCTTTCATTGGATTGAGTTTCAATAATAGCTATAAGTCTTTTGAGGTCACAAGCTGCGTGTTCATAATCTCTAACCATCTCAAGTAAGGTGGCTCTTCTTGAAATTGCCTGCAAAATGAGATAAATGAGATCCCCTGTCTCCTCAGCAAAATTAGAGTAAGACAAAAACAATTGTAATCCATACAACTGATCGATTCAATGAAATTTCTGTCCCTAATCCATAATACACCAATACTTGTATATTTCAATAAGTGAAGCTAGATTTAAGGAAGAAAATTGAAATATGCACTCATTACTTCATCAGAAATGTATACCTTTGCATAATTTCCATCAAGGGCAATAGCGACACTGCAGTCTGCAATGGCATCAGCAATTTGTCCCAAAGCTTGATGAGCTGCAGCACGGTTGCAGAAACATATTGCCATAAAAGGACGTGATTTAATATTGCATGACAAAGCAGCAGTGTAATTCTCCACAGCTTCTGTATACTTTCCCAATTTAAAGTTTTCATTCCCTGCCCTCTGTTATTAAGAAAAATAATAAAGATCAATATATTAATAGGCATATGATGAACCCCTGAAAATATAAAGAACTGATTTATTGAAATAAAGAGAGTCATAATCTACTATCTCCTTTCCCAGAGCATAAGCTGAAAATAGTTTTCTTTGAATAACAAAAACTTATGCCCAACAGACTCCATCATCCCCTTTAAATATTTTCCCTAACAACATCATAGATACTTTTATCTTGTTATCAATTTCCTAGATAATCCTATCTGTTGTTAACTTCCCAGATAATCCTATCCAGAATCTAAATTTAGGAAACAAAACAGTAATATATACCAGCTTCCTTAATAGCTAACAAATCCCTTATCCTAAATTTAAATTTAAAAACAAAAAGCACTAATAGATATCAGCTTCCTTAATAGAGAGTCAGTAGATTCCTAACTGTTATTTCTTGTTCCTTCTAAAATAGACTTCTCAAACCTTGGGCCAACGCTATCGGCATAATATCTACAATTACCTGGAAATGATCTAAACCACAATCTGAAAATATTTTAAATGAAAAATAAGAACCCAACCTACTTACTCTCTTGTATTAAAACATGAATTTAACGGGACTCAATAATTAACAATATTGTATTAGTCATTGATAATTTCAAAAAGGATACTGAAACATATTTTATTTATCCTGGTGCACATGTTGTGTTCTAGCTCATAGGGCAACTAACTTTGAGGACGGAGAAGATGTTTTAAATATTGGAATTTTGATTCAGCCACTAATTTAGGGAAGAGGTCATTATGAAATTACCTTGTGATCTAGAAGTTCTCGTATAGTAGAAGCTAATGATAACGAATCTTCAATGTTATCGATCACACACCTACACAATTGAATTGATCATAATTCATATGGCATCTGTACCTTTTGAAAAATAAAACTTATCTTTATTGAAATGAAAAATAAGAAAATAGCTTTGTTCGCTAATGAATTTAATTACTTTTCAGTGATAGACACAACATGCTGCAATTGCTCTAGTACATTAAGTGATGCCTCAAGCCTTCCCAAACGAAAGTAACATTTGGATATCAATGACCACCTCCACAACTTTACACTTGAGTGACTATCAGATAAGGAACTATCAGAATTCTCTGAATTGTTTGCCAAGACAAAATTCCTTTCTGCAAAATGCTGACTTTGTTCACAAAGCTGAATTGCTGCTTCATACTTTTGTAGCTGCAAGACATTACAATAAATAAACAGCACTTTTATTATCCATAGTAAAAAATAATTCATCAAAACGACAAAAAATAAAATAAAAATAAAATAATAAGAATAAGAATAATAATAATAAGAAGAAGAAGAAGAAGAAGGAGAAGAAGAAGAATGCGCATAAAGATGAGAGAAGAAAATAATTGGAGTATAAAATACCAAACATAGAGCCTCAGCCTTCATTTGCAGCAATTTTTCTGAGTATAAACTTATAGACAATGCCTTAGAAACTAGTTCTAAAGCTGTAACAGCTGCATCAGAAGTCCTCTCTTTTAAAAGTTCAGCAGCATTATTTATACACTTGACCACATCCTGTTAATATGTAGTAACACTTGTTAGACATCTAATAAAAGCATGCATCCCTTACAAGTGAACCTGGAGAGAATAGGAGAACTGAAGATTAATTGCTTCTTGAAAGACTAATAGCGAAGGTAGTAATAATAATTGATTATAGTAATATAAAGACGGTAATAATATATACGATAAAAATTGTGCTATCCACATACAAGAAAAAATCATTGAAATACCTGAGCCTTTAGTAAACCTTGAGATGCTTCCACTATTACCCTCCGATCCAAACAAACAACACTACCTGATTCCATGCACTTGTTAAAACACTGCTGAGCATTTTCTACTTCCCCTAGCAAAAGGTGGCAGCTGGACAGGAAAATAATTTTTCATCACTTGAATGGGAGAAATAATAAAGTCCTATACATTTTATGATCTAAAAAAATACAAATAAAAACAAAACCCTTACTTAGCAGTTCTCATCTGTACTTTCGGAAACGAAGGGTCCAGAGCTGTAGCCATCATGCAATCCTCTAGAGCCTCTCTAATTCTTCCAAGACTCATTCGTGTTGCTGCACGGTTACTATAGCAGAGTAAAAGTGGCTGAACATAGCACCCTGATCTTTCATTTGAAGGTACGGAATTTATTCCAAGTGTGTAGAAGTCCTCAGCTTTAGAAAGATCACCATCTTTATGAGCCTGGTTCCCCCTAAATAAAATCATGATTTCAGATAAATAAAGAATGCAGATTTCAGGAACATTAAACAGAAAACAGCACCACCAATATCAAAACACTAATTAAAATATATATATATATATATATGTGTGTGTGTGTGTGTGTGTGTGTGTGTGAAATAGATGATTTTTTTATGGTAGGCACCTGAGTCTCCATTTGTCACAGGCTGATGACATATTTTTATCTGATGATGCAACATCCCCTTCCTTTAATTGGTCATTTATCTGAGATCTATCCATCACATTAGAATGTGATGTCATGTTGACACTGTTATGTGGTGAAAACTGTTCAGAAGATCCAAATTTTCCATTCACACGAGGAGAGATAACAAAAGAATTGCACCCCACTTTCCTTCTAAATTTCTTCTTTTGTTGACGCTTTAATGATGGAGTACCATCCAAAGCTGATGATACAGAAAACAAAAAATTTTTCCCCGTAGATTCATTCAGGCCAGGAACAAAACAAAAAATATCATCCTTTTGCCTTTCAGTGTTTGAGGTGAAGTCAACACCAGCACCAGCTGAATCTCCTGCTCTACTACTGCAGAATTGCTCAGTTTTCAAATTAGCACAGACTATATCAGGGCCAGAAGAATGAAAATCGTCAACAGATGAATTTCCATCACATTTTTTATTATCCAGATCTCCATGTCTTCTATCAGTTGTACTCGTATCTTCTCTCCCCACAGTAGGCAAATGTTCACCTTTATAATCAGTAGGAATTGCTGAGTGCTCACCATTTAATCCTTTAGAAGCTTTTACATCTCGATCACTTGCTGTTGTTTCTTGATACGGAGAAAAATCCATTGGTGAGTGGACACCAGAGGAGTCAGGGGTTTTGAGTGAACTGTTTTCATTTGAGGAATGATCTGGCTCTGTGTGTTTCTTGTTTAAGGAATGAAACTTCAACTTTCGCCTCATACATTTTGATCCTTTTTCCTTACATGATCGACCCTTCTGTGTGGATTCAACTTTTTTAGCTAACTTAGGAAATAAGTTGTCTTTGAAACATGAAGGATCCCATGTTGGGGGTTTGAAGTCCACAAAAGACTCTTTAGAAGCCTCTGGAGTACTAGCAAAACAATTATCGCCCTTATCATCTGCACTCGAGGAATGGCCAATGGAAGCAGAAAAATTTGGATGGGAGTCAATACCAAATGATGTGAAGGAAAATGAAGCTGCAGCATCATTCACTTTTGAATCTTGAGACACATAACATCCTGGAATTTTGCCACTCTGGGAATCTCTGACATCTTCCTCACTAGAGGATGGCTCAGGGCAATGTATTCCTGAAGAATCACAGGCAATACCACAAGCAGTTCCATTTTGAACACCAACGTTCTCCGATGCAGATTGAGCACAGGATTGCTGACCACCAGCTTCAGTCCTTGAAGTAACACTAGAATAACCAAAACCCTTCAGATTTCCTCTAAACACAAAACCAGTATCACAACCATTAGCATGTGAATTCATTGAATTCCTAGTAATATCAGCACCCTCTGACTGTTTAATGTTAAGTTTCTCCATCTCGTTTGATAAATTACGCACTGGAACACCATCATAAGAAGCAGGAATACCATTAGCATTGGCATATCCACTCTTACACTTATCACCATTACCCAAATGATCATAACGATCAGCACCTGTATCACTATTACCATTCATCTTGACACCAAAAGCTCCCATTACACGATCTGAATTCCACCCATAGCCAACAGGCTCCTTCTTCTCCACCTTGACACTCGACTCTCTACCACTATGGCTCCCCCCAAATTCATACTTACACTCCCTCTCCTCAACCGAATCTTCCAACCCAACGCTACATTTCCCCTTTTCTGTACTTGAGCCAGAATCAAAATTATTTCTACAAGCACCAAAAACAAACACCTTACTCTTCAACTCCGCCGAACTCGACCCCACCTTCGCTCCCTCACCACAAACCGTCTCCGTAACACTCCCACCGTCATTCTTTCCCGCACTAAACACAAATTCCACACCACCACTCCTAATTTCCCCCTTCAAATCCCCACCGGAGTCAGAATCAACCCGCCCGGCGCCAAACACAAAAACAGCATCACGCCGACAGTTCGAAAAAACACTCTCTAATCCACTGTCATTACCAGTTACCTGATCAGCGCGAAACGGATTGAAGCCGCCAGCGGCTCCATCGTCGTCGCCAGAAGCTCTGCCCCGGGACCTAACCTGCTGAGACGCAGACTGCTTCCGGAGTTTGGCGAGCCTCGGTCGGGACCTCGTGCGCATAGCAGAGGCGGTGGCGGAAGAGTTTAAGCAATCGGCGTTGAAATGGAGGAAGGAAGAATGCCGCGGCGCCTCGGCCGAGTTAACCGGAGATTGGACATGGAACGCGGCGGGCGTCGACATTGTAGAAGAGTAGGGTTTTGAAATTGTTGGTTCCAACGGGTTTGAGAGTTCAAATTTTCACTCTCCCACAAGGTGATGGAAATGGTATTGGTACGACGCAGTGTAATTTAGGACTTATGATCTGGGATTAGATTAAGTAGTTGAAATGGTTTTGGTTAATATAATTTGATTTAGGATTTATGGACCTGAATTAGATTAACTCATTTATGTTTGAATAATAAATAATTTATAGAGGGAGTGAATAAAGAGAAGAAGACTTTGGGATGGGAGTGTCAACCAGTGTGGGACCTACCTGCTACCAACATCTTCCAATTGAAACTTGGGATCACTTTTTTCTTTTGGCTTTGTCATCTTGCTTCTATTTTACTCCTCCAGTTCTTCACAATCAGAAACATGTCTATTTTGTATTTCTTTTCTTTTTTAGCTTTTTACAAATACAAAATTAAAAATATTAAATTTTGTGTTTATTTTTAAAATAAAAATTTAAAATAAAAATTATTATTCAAAAAAAAAATTAAAAACATTTTTTGTAAAATTATTTTTGTAAGAATATATAAATTTACCTTTTTCTGAATTAAAAAAATATTATAATAAAATTGTAATGTTACTTTTACTATATTTTTTAACGTAATAAATATATATTAAAAAATCATAATAATTTTTTAATTTTTAAAATATAAATATTTTCAAAAATATTTAAGATAAACTAAATATATTTTGATTATATTTTAAATTAAATATGAAATCTTAATTTTCAATATTCATACTCACCGTATATGAAATATGTAATCTATAAAAAGGAGATTTTTTTAAACCGTATTTTTTATGTCACTAGAAAAAAGAAAATAAAATTATTAAAAAAATTTAATATATGGATTCAAAAATATAAATTAAAAGATTAAAAATATTTCTTATATAAAAGAAAATAAAAATATTAATTATATAAATAATATTTAAACCGTATATTATTTTTTATATCATAAAATAATATTTTTTTAATTTATTTTAAAATTAACTTATCCATAAATCTAACAATGAGTCAATCTAAGATCGATGTGGATTATTAGTTAAACTAGTAAAATTTAAAAAAATATTATGTTCAACTTGTATCCCAATTTTCTTTTTACCAAACCGTTTTGCAGACTTTTCAAACTATAACTATTTTGATAATTCTATTAATATAAAAAAAAATCACTGATACTTAAATCTGTTTGCAACTTGTTTTATTTGATTTTTCATTAAATAGTCGTTAATGAAACACTAAAATCAAATTTAAATTGGTTTTATTTAATTTTAATTTAATATAAAATTAGAAATAAACAAAATTCAATGTTCTACTATTCAAATTTTAACTATTTTTGTTATTATTAATAAATTATTTTAAAAAATTATAAACATCTTTTTAAAAGAACTACTAAATATTTCATAATAAAAAAATTGTTAAATAGAGAGATATGTTATGAATATTTTGTATTATTATTATATTCATAATTTTATTTTATTTTTATATTTATAAATAAATTATATTATTTTATAATTACAATACAAAATTGTTATAATAGGTTAATAATTATAAATATATAAATAAAATATAATTAATTTATTAAATAATACTCAATATTTGTTTTAATTTTAAGAAATTTTGCTTATATTCATTAATTTAAGTAAAAGACAATTTGATTTTTTTGTTAATTATGTTGGTAGTGTCACAATTTTAGAAAAATGATTAATAAATATTTTATAGTTTTTAGTTAATCTTAAAAATTGCTAATTTTACTAACCGTTTTTTGACGTTGTTATTGGAGTATTGTCTCCAGTCATAGTAAGATTAAGTAACTCCAAACTTACACATTAACGAGTTAGAACTCATGTTTGGACAACTTTTTCCTTAAGTTACTTAAAACTTTTCTTAACTATTTCTCGTGCTCATAATAAATATTGAAATAAATAATAAAATTATAATAAACTTGTCTTAAGGAGTTTGTTACTTGAAACGACATTACCACTTACCTAGTGATCATAACAATATTTTCTTTAATAAAATAATCACTTATATTTTTTTTACATATTTGTGCACACTTATTTAAAAAGTAAACAAAAGATAGTTTTTTATTTTTTAAACAATTTGGAATTGCTTAAAGTTAATTCACTTAAAAATAAATTATTTTTAGTGGTTATTTTTTAAGTATAAACAACAAAGTTAACTTGATCCATTTATCTTTTTGAAATTAGATGTGATCTTAGAAATGAATTGATTAGTTATCAATTGCATTCTCATAAACTATGATCAACATATGATTTTGTGTTCAAGATCTATTGGAGGAATGGTTATTGTTTGCACAATAAGCATGTAATAAGTTTAAGATGAGTTCAAGATGGGAGCTAGACGAGTGATACTAAGAAATTTTTTTGATGTTTTATCTCAAATAAACATTTGAACTACCTCCTAAGAGGGATGTAGAGTTTTTTATTCGTTTAATAGTCACCAAACCAAATTAGCTAATAAACATAGTATGATGAAAAAGTTAAGCAAAACAAGTTATGTCTTAGATACATCTGATAAAAACGAGTTTGTTATGCGTTTCATTGATTAATATTTGTTATTTGTATGATGGTTTAAGAAAAATTGAACTGAGTTATTTTAATTTTTATTTTCTAATCAATTTCTTTATGTTATCAAAATGACACTTAGACATATCACCTCTCCTTTTTCACCCTTTTGAGACGAGTTAGATTGTTAGGACTACAGAGATATAACTACTACCATTTGACAAGTACATATTTTGTATTCACGTTAAGACCTTTATTATTCCTTATAATCATTTTTTATATCCCATTTTGTGTATTTTTACTTTTTAGTCATTAATAATAATTTAGACATATTTTGAATAAATGTTTTAATTTCACATTTTTTTCTAATTTGACTTTTGTCCAATATTTTGATCATAAATTTCTTTGTAGATATCTTTTTTTGACAATTCTTGTTTTATTGTTTTTCTTACTTCAAAAGCTTCAATTTGTATATACGAAACATGGAGTTTAGAGTCTAGAGCTATTTTTCATCATCTTTAGAAGTTGAGACAAAAACATTAAATTTTTGTATAAAAAGTTATATTTTGTAATTGGATTCATAAATCCCATTTTGGTTTAAACCTAATCTCATTCATTTCCATCATTCACAGTATTATATATAAACACTTTATGAAGTGAAAAGACACAATGTTTACACCAAAATTACATACTTTAATTCAATCTTTATTTTGTCTTTTTGAATTCTCTCTTCTTTTCTATATTTATTTTGTCTTTCCATCTTTTTACAATTGTGTAAATGGAAACTCAATTCATAAAAGGCTAAATCGTCTTTCAATCTTCGAATGGAAGATGACATGAACTGCAAAATTGAGTTTTGAACCTACTGATTCATACGCTCTGAGTTTGTTAATTTTTTCTCTAATTCTTAGAATCAAATGTCATTATTATGTTTTGTTTTGCTAGATTTTAGAATTTAAATTAGGTTTTGATTAAAATTTGATTTGATAATTAATTGAAAATTAGGTTAAATGATTATTTGATTTGATTTGTATAAAGAGTTCAAATTCGAATTGATGTTCATTAGGCATAATGATATTTCAATGCATTTAGATTTTTATGTTAATGTTTTAATTTCGCTTCTTCAATAAATTCAATTCTTTTTTTGCATTTACCTTTTATTTTAACTTGGTTTGATTCTTGTGTTTATACTCTTGTGTTCTTGCATTTTAATTTTTGAATTCAATTCAATTTTGTTTTTCTTTTAATTTTAGATTTATGTTTTAATTCGATTCAGTTGCTTTTTTGAATTTAATTCAATTCAGTTTGTCCTTTTCAATTCTTGAATTTAATTTTAATTTATGTTTAAATTTCAATTGTTTATGTATTTGAATCCAAAAACCCCCAATTTAACTTGTATAGGAAAAATATGAGAAAATGTATATAATTGATATGTGTCCTTGACATAATCGACCTAGATTATCAATTACATTTTAAAATTGTGGGAAAACTTAGAATATTTTGAACTCATTACTTCAGTGAAAATCATCCATTAGTAGTAAGGTATGACTATGGCCTAGTAGCATTAGATTGCCATGCATCAGTTGGAGATGACAAGGGAAACACCAACCTAAATTCACTGAAAACTTTACCCCTAACCAAGCAAAGAAGTGGATTAAAGAGTTAGAAGAGATCTTAAGGGTAACTTATTATCCTAAGAAGAAGCTTAACTTTGATACATACATATTGATAAGAGGTCAAGTTTTGTTGGATGGGTATGCCACAAATGATGATTGATAGGTTAGAGGTGCTAGAACGGGAAATCTTTAGGATGAGGTTCTTGGAAAAATACCTCCTTAATAGTACAAGATTCATAAAGGAAGCAAAGTTTCTAAAGTTGGACTAGGGGAGTATGATGGTGCATGCCTATATTATTAGGTTTGAGCACCTAGCCAATTTCTATACCTTACCTATATTCAAAGGCATGAAGATGTGGAAAGTTTGAGAAGGGACTGAAGCATGAGATAATTATGGTCTCCATGCTCATCAGGGAATTTCTAGTCTTTGTAGAAAAGGCCAAAGTTATGGAGAGGTTGGGGATTTGTGATGACAAGGTGATTAGTCATAAAGTCAAAAGTTTTCTAGTGGGAAGGACAAGACTAAATGGAGGAAGTCATATTATAGACCCTAATAAAAAAAGGAGATCTATCTATTACTCAACAATAATAACCAGCTATAAGTATTTACCCTTCCCATGTGGCAGACCCTATTGATAATAAATTGTTGTTAACTAGACTATAAGTGAAAATATGTAGTTTGTTAAAGGACTAGACATCTAGTTAGGGAATGCCTAAGAAGTGCTCGGCAAGTGCATCATGTTAACTGTAGTACAACTGTTAAAAAAATGTTGTTGTATCCTCATAAATTTGACAAATATTACACAATTTCAGTTTTCATTCTATTAAAGATTTGAATATTGAGATAATTGTATAAAATGGATTGATAAATACAGAAAATTGTTGTATAAAAAAGCACAAGGAGATAAATTGTTGAATTGGCTTTCACTTAAACTTTGTACAACCTATTATCTATATACGCATAAATTAAAATCTTAGTTTTAAATTCAGGAGATCACTCCAGATTAATTCCTTAACACTAGAGTTTTAAAACTCCTAAACAATCAATCAATTTCTTGAAAAACTAATTAAGAAATTTACATTAAACACAAAATCTTTTTCACATCAATAATCTTAAATATGTTCCCAACAGTTAAGTTTGATTTGATTCAAGTAAAAAAGAAAAGTCATTTTTCAATGTAAATTTATTTCTAAAATCATGAAATTAGGTTTCTCTTAATCCAAACATTAAAGACAAAATCAAATCAATAATTAGAAAAAAAATTCATATATATATATATATATATATATATATATGTATAGCAATAGTACATGTTGCATATAATATAATAGAAGAGAGATTAGCAACACACGGTGAGAGAAGAAGAACCTATTATACAAGGAAGTGAATTTTAGTCATCCAACTTCTGTTTGTAGAGTCTGACTCTCAAGTTTCTCGCTTCTCTCTTTTCCTTCTATATGTTCTCCTTTTTTTCTTTAATTTTTCTATTTATACCTAAGGAAACTCGTAATATTTGTACTGATCCACTTAACGATATGAATTTCACTCAGTGGATTGAGATTTATTCACCTTATAGTACTTTCATTCGCTCGGTGCTTTTGTATTTGTTTACCATTTTTACCTTCTTGGGAAGTCATTTCTCTATGTCGTGAATCCGCTCAACGGATTACCTTGTTGCTCAGCACTTCCCAAAATCGCTCAGCGCTTTTGTTTGCCTTGGGAATGATTCTTCCTGCCTCAAATCCACTTAGCAGATTGAAAATAGTGACTCCTTCTTACTCTCCTTTGAAAACCGCTCAACGGATGACAAATTGTTCAAACTGCTTAGTAGCGCTTTGACTCTATATGAAGTGTTGTAATCTCTTAAATTCTTCATGCAATTAACAAAAACTTGCATTAATTTACCTATTAACTCTTTGAAACTCAAAATATACATAGTTAGAGGTTATTAAGAATTTTAACAACTAAATTCTAAATAATTATATAAAATAAATGTCATAATTAAAGATAAAGACACGAAAATTTGACACTTATCAAGTGGTGAAGAAGTAGCTTCTTCTAGTGGATCCAACGTACTATGAGAGAAGAGAGAAGATCACATCTAATAAGGAGAGTTTTTGTCATGATTGAGACAAAGGTAGCCATTTCAAATAACTTGGTATAAGATGCATGTTTTGTTCTCGTTAGAGTTAGAGCTCTTAGGGTACTATTTGATTATGAAGTGACACACTTATTATATGCCAAGTGCTTATACAGAGAATTAGGCTTGTTAGTAAAAAAATGTGCATAATTTTATAGGTTGAATATTTCTATCATTACTTAAGTTATAAGTTTCTTATGACTTGGAGTTAATAGAGTAAAAAAATATAGAAAACAATTTGTTGTAGAAATATTTTATTACAGTTAAAAAAATAGAGTAAATTTAATTATATATTAAAAAGGAAGAGAAAAAATATATTAATATATTTTAAAATAAATATTATTTTCTATTGTTTAAAAATATCTAGACAAATATAATTTTTTTATCTTAATTATTTTTAGTTTTTTTAATAATAATAATAATAATAAATTAGTGTTTCAGGTTACTTACTGGATTTTTTTTATCTCCTAATATTTTCTCATACCCTCAACTCTACTATTTTCTTTATATTTTAAACAATGTTTTTTATATCTTGCTTTTAGATGGGAAAACGTTGAAAAAAAAAAAAAATAGAAAGAAACTCAAGAGATCGTGACCGTAGTTTGTTTTTGCCTTTCTTATATATAATGTTGGTCTATTTTTGTTTTATTTTCTACACCACAAATTAATATACACAAAATTTATTTGTTGTCAATATCCTTCACAATATTACAGTTGTCCATGAAAATAGAAAAACCCATTTTATTAGGCTTTAGGGAGTGTTCCATGTATATGTTCTTTTTTGAATCGTTCAAATTATTCTTCTAAGAATAGTTTTATTATTTTATAAGTTGTTAGTTGAATATTTATAAAAATAAGTGATGTAATTACGAGTCATGTCTAGTTACATGTTATATTATTTTCTTTATAGTTATTAAAACAGTATCAATATAAAAATGAACCTTTATTTTATTTTATTATGTGCTACTTGTGTTTTGCATTTATTTATAAATTTATTATTTGGTTTAAAGATTAAGACAATATTAAATTTTTTAAAATGAGTTTAAATCTTACCTTATATAAAAATAAAAAATTAAATAACATAAAAAAAAACTCACAACTCAATACATTAATGTTTAAGGTTGAGACTGGTATAATACTTCTATAGATTTAACTTATATCTCTTTCCAATAAATCTCCTCTCAAAAACTTATGTAATAAAAAATACATTCTCTTTAAACTAAATTTTCCTTAATCTTATATCAAATATTTTGTTTTTATTAAAATTACTTAAAATATAATAATAATTTTATAGATCTTTTATTATATTCGAATCTAAATATTATTAATCATAATTTTTAAATTAAACTTTTCACTATCATTTTAATGTGATTATATGGTTTGCACCACCTTTATATATATATATATATATATATATATATATATATATATATATATATATATATATATATATATATATATATATATATATATACTAAAGAGTTGTTTAAATATATGCATTAACTTTTTATATCTACCATTTATTAACTAAAATTTATAAATATTTTGGTACATTAAATATAAATTATGAGGTTTTATTTCAATATTTTACGTTATTTTTATAGACTTAAATAATTTTTTAAATACATGTATGGTCTTGTATTAAGTAATAATTATTTAAAATTAATTGGATTTAATAAACTTTCTAATTAAATACTTTTCTTTTAAATAAAATCTACGTACTAATCTATATCACATTGTCATCAATTATCGTATTTATATTCCGTAATAGCCGCTTGCACTATTAGTATTTTCTATATTATATACCATTTATATTATAAAAAATAATAATTTTAGCATATTTTTACTAAATTAAAATGAAACTAGAATTTGAATTAAAAAATATATCAAACATTTTTTTTTCCAAAGAATTACATGATCTTGATTTTTTACTGCTAATGAAAATACGTGTGACCACTATAATTAAGACTAATATCTTCTTGGACCCAAATGATATTTTTCATAAAAGATATATTTTATGTTTTCGGGAAACATAAATAATTTAAAATAAATTTTGTATATTTAATTAAAGATAAGGATAATATATTCTTTTTATGTAACTGACTCTAACTTAAATATGGTTTTAAAAATAACTTTTATTTAAATGATTTTCCATAGTTTATTAGATAAACTATGGTGGTGATTATTCTGTTTCATGTATCTAAAACAAGTTTTGCTAGTCTTTTATTATAACCTTGATTAGGACAGTTGACAATTTCACTAGATATTTTATGAATTTAGTAATTAATTTTATAATTTATCATTGATAGTTGTTTGAATAATGAAGTGTGAGATTCACCTAATTCTCTCTAATAACAAATAATTTTAAATCAAATTAGAACAAATATCTAAAGCAAAAATTTATCACTGATGATACCTAATATTAATAAATAATGATACACTAAATGTACTTGAACATTGAAAATGAATAAAAACATAAATAAATTGAAAATTAATAAGATGGAATAATGTGCGATTTTATAAATAATATATTAATTTATATATTATAAAAAAATAAAAATGATGTGGGTTAGTCTATCTCATCTTACATTGCACCGATTATGGGTTATGCAAAGTGAGTCACATGTTAAAAATGTCTAACATTCCTCGTGTTTTTCATGATGGAATAATGGGTCGGCCCATGTGACCCGGTCCACATTACCACCCTTATGCATAATATGCTTTTATCACATTAATACTATTATATAGTTTGCATATTGTGCAACAATATCACCTGCGGTATACTTCTTATTTAATTACTGGAAAAATTCTAATCCAAGTATGTTATCTTTATTAGTATTCCCACATTTAATAGATTTCTAACTATTGTTAAAAATAACATAAAATGAATCATAATTCCTATGACATTGTGTGTTTATAATATTTAAGGAATATGCATTAAAATATAATATTATAAATAACATTTTTTACGATGTTTTAAAAATGGTTATAATGAAGTTTTTTAATTGTCATTGATACAATTGTTATTAAAAATTAATAAATTAATCATGTTTTTGAACTATTGTCGTAAGTTACCGTACAATGACTATTATGTTTATAATTGTGGTATGTCAAAACTTTATTTTGTTTTGTCGACACAATATTGATTCGTTATAATAAACATGGTAGCTTTCACTATTTTCTCATTATTATTTTTTTTACTCAGTTTTAATGCATATAGCAAAACATTATCCTTTACCATTGTTTCAATAAAATATTATTTTTTACTATTATTCTCCCTTGTGACAATCTTAAGTGTATTGACATCATAAAAAAAACAATTTAAGAAGAAGAGAAAGAGAAAAAAAGAAGAGTTAAATCTTGATGATCAAAGGAAGAAGAGAGGGGTTACAACGGAGGAGGTGAAGAGGAGAGAAGAAGAAAAAAGAAGTGAGAAAACAAAGATGAAGTGAACAAAATTAATGAAATTTAAATTTTTAACGAGATATACGATGATAATTATTTTATAACCATCATCACATGTGACATACAATAACGATTGTAAAATAATTGTCACTAAAAAGTTAGATATACATGAACATTTAAAAATATAACTGTCGTTATATGTTAGTGTTTTATACATGTGACGACGAGTTATTTATAATTATTATCTTATGTGATATATGATGACAATTCTATTTATAATTGTTGTTATATGTGAGATTATATTATGTAATTGTGAGATTATATTATATCTTTAATTATTATACTTAATCGAGGAAAAAAAAGTATTATGTAATTGTGAGATTATATTATATCTTTAATTATTATACTTAATTAAGGATAAAAAAAAGAATGTTACATTTATTCTAGTTTATTCTTGTCTTTTATCCATACGCATGCATCATAATTTCTCACCGTAAACAAAACTTAGGAGTTTAATTGATTGTATCCCATGCATTAGTACTCTTTTTATCTTATAATACATGTAATAATATCATATTATAGGAGAATGAGTAAATTGATGAAATTCGATTAATTTCTTATTAAGCATATGTTTCTCACGTACGAAAGTATGAACATAAATAAAAACTCATTTGATCATAAGAAATATATGAGAAAATAATCCATATAAATTGAACAACAAAATATTAATAAATGAATAACAATTAGAATTATAAAAAAATTAAGATATAAGAAATTTTATGCATCAAATAACTTATATTATCCCAACACATTCAAGTGAGAACAATTTAAAGAAAATTCAATAAAAAAACCACGTAATAACATAATAACATGATAAAATAATATGAACGAGTTTGACCCACTTTCTAATATCTTTATGATTCATTAATAAAGTAAGAAAAAATTTGAAAACATGAAAGAGATTAGGAATGAAAAATTAAACGTTACTTGCCATAACAATATATACACTTAATAAGAAATGTAAAATAAGATTTTAAATAGTGAGATTCATACCTCTTGAAAACTCTTGAATATTTGAGAGAAAAAAACTATTTCCACTATTAATTTCAATGAATAAGATAGACATGAATTGAAGTACCTATTTAAAGGCACATGTGACCAATATTCTATAACACTCTTTAGTAAAGATGGACTTGCATCCTAAACTAGACTAAGTATATGCATATAAATAAAGACGGAATTAAAAAATTAATTTTAAAAGATTAACTTAAATAAATAATTAAAAAAGACTATAATATATTTTTTTAATAAAATTTTAAAAGATTTTATTTTTATTATAGCTTAGCTCACCCTCTTCCGTTTTTCTTTGCAAATAAGTCTCAGCCTAATTTACCTGAATTACTCAAGTCTTAATCTAAAAATTAAATATTCTTTTTAAGTTCTAAAAATGCTAAATAAGTCTCAGCCTAATATCATTCTTATCAAATATAAAAACTTATTTAATTTAATAAAACATTTTTAAATTTTTATTGTTGTTAACAATTAAATATATATTTCTATTTACTTTCTTTATTTTAAAAATTTTAAACTTCAAACCATACATATTATATAAATCATTAAGAAAACGAGAAAGAAATAATCAACACCCACATGTGACGTTACAGTGAGGCCAAGGGCCTCTAAACTCACCACCTTAGCATGTAAAAGCAGCCCCTGGAAGACACGTGGCGCGTCTCTTTCACTCGGTTACCTACCTTCACTTAAACCCTAAATTTTCAATTGAAGCCTCTTCTTCTCACAGTTCCCATAATCTAGCTTATAAGTCCTGCTCTGGATATCTCTGTTTCATTATTTTGTAAGTTTTTGCTTTATATTTATGCAGTATATGCTGATGCTTCTATTTTCCCTTAATTGCAAGGTGCAAAAGTCTATGTGTTAAGCTTGCATGTTCTGTGTTTTTTTTTTTGCCATGATAATGATAGATATAAATGATTGGGACAGCTTCTGTTTCAAGTTACTGGGCCCTTAAATATTACTTGGTGACTTGATTGACAAACCTAGTATTTTACTTGTTTTTCCCCTTCTAGGGAGTGGTAATTGTGTCTGCTTCAAAATTGTACAGAGAAACCAAGTATGAGTGTGTCAGCTTTAAAATTCAAGCTGGACTCTCTGACTGTCTCCAAGATTAGTGAAGCTTACCTATGTGTGTGGAATTGTGATACACTATAAAATCTTCTCCCAAAAGAAATGGATTATAGCCCTGTTTAGATAAACTTATCTATGAGTACTCGGAAGATATGGATTATAACCCTGCTTTTTACTTTTATAGAAGTTCTTTGTTTGCAGTAGAAACTCCATTGATTTTATCTTTTATTTTCTTTTTCTATGAATATTTGTGAAGATCTTTATGGAATGAACTTTTCATAAATATTGCATAGATGATGGATGTTTATCCTGACATATTTTTGTCTGTTTCCCTGAGTTTGGTCCTCTCAGGAAAATTGGGCTTGGAGCAATGTCAAAAGTTGTTTGATTGTCACAATCACAAATTAGCTGCACTGCTTATGTTCTATTTTCCTAACCTTCATTCTTGAAGTTGCTGCTTCATCCATTTAGGTTTGCATGTTACCAATGACATAGCTTGATATTATCGTTCACATGTTGCTAGCGTCGTGGCCCAATACTTTCTATTTTGAAAATGAGTTGGAAACCAGATATTGTTTCTTACATTTTTAAAAATTGGCTTTTGTCCTATTACAACTCAATTATCTTGAATTTGGACATCCATTTAGATTGAGACCCAACTCAATTTGCATTGGATAGGTTACTATATGGATAGGTTAATATATGGATATGTTCCATATCTTGATATTGAAGATATTGATCCCACCCTATGCAGCTATGATGTATGCCCGGATGTTAATCAAATCACTCTAGTGACTATCGCATCCAACTTGCAGTAACCGACTAAACAACTCAGTACAAATTAAATGTTTGGATGAATGATGGGGAGATAATTCTGCCCCCTTAACAAGTCTACAGTATTGTTCATCCTTGCAGAAGCATAATGTTCTCATTTATTATGTGTAATGCATACTTTTGTACTTGTTTGCCACCCCAGCAGTAAAGTGAGCCTCTGTAATATCTGGAAAATATTAATGACGATCCAAGTCCTTGGAAGTAAGTTTTGCATGAGTGTAACCTTGCATCCTTGCGTTATTTATCCATTATAAGATGCTATGTACAATAATTCACTTGTACTACTACATAACATAAAGAATAATAAATCCTGATAACTATAATGACTAGTATTTCAACAAGGGGAATCCAACTTTCCAAATCCTGTTGGCGCTTAGTCTTTCATTATTAAGCAAATATCAATACCTTGTCATAATTCTTGATAGATATTATAGTCACAGTGGGGTCTTTCCCCCCTTCTATTTTCAATTGTTTTGAAAGTCCTCTGCTTTGGAGTGATTTTATAATGCAATCATGCAACTTATATACATTGGACATTGATAAAGTAATTTTCTTCTTTCTGTAGTAAGGATTTCAGAAGATTTGTGGAACGGGAAGATTCGGTCCTACAAAGACAGTGAATGAACCTACATAGAAATACAATGTGCATCTATTAATGCAAATTTTTATCTTTCATGGAGAATAAATCAGATAAAATGCTGAATGGTGAGGGCTATCATTATTTTATGTGAAGCTCACTTGTCCTTCTGGAATGATTTTTTATATTACTATGTAAAGTTGATACTTGACGGTGCATTCAACAATATAGATTATGTCGATCAATTTACACTGCTGAAGCTAGGTGCAAATGTTTGTAGAAATGTAATAAAGCCATGAAAATGGTTGATACATCATTACATTTGTGGAAGTAAGGGAGTCAATATATATATATATATATATATATATATATATATATTATTGGTTTGTTTATATAGTCAATGAATGAAGCATGTCAAAGCAATAGCATGCTAGAATTTTTAAACCATTCATCCGGATGCAATTTTTTGCTCTACGAAAATTTTTTGCACTTGGTTCAAGCTTTTCTTCTCTATTTTGGTCTTTTGAAGTCTTAGTATGAGTTCATTGACATGTGTTTACCATTTTATTTAGTTATATATAATGCATATCACTGACAGCAAGCCATTTGTTCAAGTGATGTGTAACTGCTTCTCAAAGAGTCAAAGACTACAAGTAAAAATAAATTGGATATGCTTTTTATGCAAACACCTATATTATTTAAATTTTGTTTCAATTTCCAACTACTTTAGAGATAAGGTGGAAATGGGTGTTTACCTAACGCGACATCTTTAATAACTCTGTATCTTTTTTTTTTTACTTTTTTTTTTTGTCATTTGATGTACTGATCTGTTACATGATGCCCTTGCTCAAGACTTTGATTGTGAGTTTAACAGATAATAAGGAAAGCACTCATGTGGACAATGTATTGGCTGACACCAATCATCCAAAGATTGGTGTGGACAAAGGTGTTTTGAAAAATTTTACAAGATCTTCAGGAGATGTTACTGAAACAAGGATAGCAGCTGATTGGAAAGGTGACCAAAGTTGTCCAAAGGGTACACGTTTGGAGGACATTGAACCATCTGGGGATGTAAACATGGAGGCATCCATAACACCTGACGATGTTATCCGGGCTGGAGGATTTGGTGCCAGGGATGATATCAGTAGCTTTCTTCCTGTTGCAAGTGATTCTACTGACTTTGAAGCTTCAATCCGTGATGCACGAGATTATGAAGAACCACAGGGTCAAGTAAGCAGACCTGGGCTTGGCTGGACTGGCGGTGCTACTGAGGGGGAATGATTAGTGGTGCTGTTATGCGGACCATTATTCGCAACTTGTTTTTAGCTGGGAAGACCATGTGTTTCCAGCTAATGTTAGCTGGTACTAGTTAAAAATCAAAGTCGTCTAATACTGAAAAAATCTTGTTTGTATCATCGCTAGATGATTTTCTTGTAAAAATAGTTGGTCCGTAACGTAGTGTTTGCTTTGCCTTTGTTAAGAGGAAACATTTAAAAGTTTCGTTCTACTGGGTAAGAACTTATCCTTGAATTTTCGCTACTGTTTTTGTTTTGGTCAAATTTAATTACGGTAAAATGGTGCAATACTTTTCCTATTTGGAAGGAAAGATGGAATTAAAACTTTGTATGCTGTATAGGTCGGGGGTTATCGAGAGAATTTTAGCAAAAGTAGATAATTTATTTGTTGGTCTTTGAAAATGTTTTCTTTTGTGGTGTATGGCAATGAATTTTTTGTACTATATACTCAGGTGTTTCGTTTTTTTTCGGTTAGTTTCATAAAGTGATGAAGAAGAATTAAGTGGGATCTAGGTGGATGAGGTGAGTTTCTTGGCAGTTGCATTTCAAAATGCATTGGTATTAGGCTCTTAAAATATTAAATTCGTTATATTATATAGTTATAAACAATTGTATGTTAATGAAGCCCATTGGATTCAAACTGCATAGGGAGCAGTTAAATGATGAACTGCAGGAGATCCATATCCATGATCTGTGATATGTATTGTCTGTTGTTAGGGCTTATTAAGTTGTGTATAACACCAATTCTACTTATGGTGAATGTTGGAAAGTGCTTGTCGAATAAATTTTGATTAATGAACTATAAAAGTATATATGTGATTGTTGACACAGTATATGTAAAGAATTTCACACTATTAATAATGAACCAGATGATGATAAAAATATGATTCTTTGAATAAGTTATATAAAATACTAATGTTTTTCAAAAATAAATATTACATTATCCATTTATTTCAATTAAATTCTCGATAGATTATACTAATAAATAAACATATTTTGGAGAAAGTCAGTAGTATCTATTGAGGAGATGACAAAAAGTTGTCAAGATGGTTTGATCACATGAAAAAATCTAACAGAGTATTGAAATTTGACTTCTGATTATGAATCAGAGTCCATGAACAATATATAGCTCCTTTTCTTCTAGCAGAATAAGATTATAAGACTCAAGTGCCTAATTGTATAGGCATTTGAAAAGCGGTTAATAGAAAATTTGACTAGACAGAGTTTCCCCCCTCTCTGAGCTAGCTTGCTTTGCTTTATTTGTATGATTATGACAGTAGAAAGAAAGTTTAAAGAAACAAAAAGGTTAGTTATTTCAGTTAAATAATAATTCTCTTTATTTAACCTTTTCTTTACATTTAATAATAATTTTCTTTGCTGATATTTTTCTCTTACAAGGGTGGCCCTAAGATTTAGCCTTAGAAGTATCACCACCAACTCACTATTGGTGTTTTCCTGAAGCAACGTTGTAATGATGACCTAAAAAGCAAGCCTCCTGTTGAATAGAAAATGCATTGACCACGCTCACAATTATTGAGAGGAAGGCCAAGGAAGAAACAAACATGATTAATTAGCATTAGTTCACAACCTCACACACCATAAGGCTAGCATGAAGCAGACACTGCCTTTTGAAAGATTCTGTGGCCAGGGGCAAGCAGTGCGAGTGGGTCATAGGCCTTTTTTCTTTCCACGAATGCCTCCCACTGTGACCCAAAGTGGGCTTCCCATTCTTCCTGTGTGCTGTAATGGGGAAGGTATTGCTTCACTTTCAGTTGGGCATGGCTGTAGAACTCTATGATCCTTTTGTTTTGGGCCACAATCTGTTCTAAACTATCAGCACCTGTGGAATTTGGGACTGCTGAGGATAGGAATGCCACCAGGTAAAAAACATCTTCCTCTGGGGTAACCAAAGATGTCTTACTGTTCCACCTGTAACAACAAAGAGTACAAAAAAGATTCAGATCATGAGAATTCAAAGTGCCATATTTGATAAGTTCATTGACTTCTATAATAATAAGAAAGCATACTATGTAGTGACAATACAAAGCAATTCTTCACCGTTGTCCAATTTCAATACAAATGTATGACGGTAAGTTTGTTTAACTTCTATAATAATCACTGTGTAAAAGTCTTTTATCCTGAAAATGCATGATCATTCAAATCTTTAACATAATTACCATCCTAAAAGTCATCGGAAGTGTAAAAAATATTTACTCTAACAGTGACAATCCATAGACTTAAACTGGTTGATTTGTGTCTGTTTGAAAAGCCATATACCTCGTTTGGTTGACGGGGTAAATGAGAATGGGGCCATTACTTGTGTCCTTAAGAATATTGCCAAATACTTCTTCAGCAAAGTCATGAATCTCACTCCTTGGGATGAAAAGGTTCAGCCAGGGATGGGGGACTTCCCACAAGCCTTTTGCACTTAACTTTTTCTCAGAAACATGCACTCTGTCCAGGAATTCCACGTAAGAAACTTCTGATAGGAAGAGTGTTGGTTGGATGTAACTCAGCTTTGACAGTAGGTGATCAACACTCTGCATTTGAACATAGGTGATGGAGTTTAAACTTTTTCTTTACAACCAATGCTATAATTCTGATCATGCAGCTGATGAGTGCTTGGTGTTGCTTACCTGATTCATGAATTCTTCTTCATCAGGGTTGAAGTATTTTGCCATCTCAAGACAGTAGAAGGTTCTCCCATCAGAATTGAATTGACTTGCTTGAAGTGGGCTTTTGGGATCAAAGGATGATCTCCAGTTGTTAAGGATGCCTGTTCTATTTATGATCACAAACCCTTCAATATAATCAAATGTGTTTTTAAGTGATATTAAATACTCTTGATCCCTTGTAAATATAGAGAATTCTGAGTAGAGCACTCTAATCCATTTCACCTGCCATAACGATCATGTCGTAAAATAAATATTATTGGTGAACAATTTTTTTTGTCTTATATTAGAGTTGTGAATGTACACTCACCATCTTTGGTGCTGATTCAAGAGAAATTCTAGCCCTTGTGATGATGCCAAATTGACCAAGACCTCCAAGTACACCATGAAAAAGGTCAGCATTTCGGTTCCCTGAGCAAGTAACCACCTCTCCTTTTCCTACAACAAAATTTTGTAAACCAGATTAGTGTGATGAAAAACCAAAGGTGATGCCACACAAAATGGTTAACTAGTTTCTAGAATGCACCATTTACACTCCAGAGAGGGCACTATTATTCTCATTAAGCATGATAACAAAATTTATCTATTTCTTTGAAGTATTTGCTTGTTTTTTAATGTCTTACTAAGAGTTATTATATTCAAACTATCCCAAACAAGCTCTAAAAGAAAACCTTAGTTACTACAAAATACAGCATCCTATTAGGTGGAGAAATTGAGATAGATTGTGCTTGACCAGATAGTTACCTGTGACCACTTCAAGCTGGAAGATGTTATTGATCTGAGGTCCATGTTTGAAGGCTTGCCCGCTTATACCAGCATTTGAAAGAGTGCCTCCAACAGTGAGGTGAAGGTAATCTGTCCATGACTTTGGTGCCAACCCATGTTTAAGAGTTTCATGCAGAATGTTTATCCACAACTCTCCCCCTGAGACATCCACATAAGGGAACTCTCCAATGTGAACTTTCATTTCAGGGCCCTGCAGTGACTCCATGTTAATGACTAGGCCTCCATGTGCTTGTGCCTGGCCTTGCAAGGAATGGCCATGGCCTCTAGCAGCAACCTTCAACTCTGAGGCAAACCCCATTTCAAAAACATGCTTTATGGTGCGTGATATATCAGAAACTGCTTTCGGATGCAGCACTGCTAGGGGAGGAAAATGGTGTATGTTGCCAAAGTCCTTGGCAGCATCCTCATTATTACTCAGGCTAAAGTAGCCATCTAGAGGCAGTGTTTGCAATGATGAGAGGATCTCATGAGGTGGAAATGGAGTTAAGGAATTTGAAGCAGAGTTATTATTGCAGCCTGAGTTGGCTTTATGAAGTATAGAATTAAGGAGTAAAAGTATGAGGATTTTGATTGATGGAAAGCTCCCTTGTTCATAGAAGCCACCAGGTTTTGACACCATGGTTTCTACTTTGATGAAGAAAGTGCTTTGTATGAGAAAAAAAAGGGTGAGAATAAGGAGTATTATTTTGAAAGGCAGAGTACAGAAGGTGAAGGAAAGGTTGGAAGGCATGGACAGATTGAAGGAGTTACTCCTTTTATAGGCAACCTGATTCCTTGTAGTGGGTGTCCTTAGCTGCTTTTTATTTTTCATTTTTCCATAAACCATTATTTTGGTTATAAAACTATTATTCTCGCTAGTTTCTAAATTAACAAAAGCGAGTAATAATCTCTTAAAATATTGACTAATAAACCTTATTTTGCTTAACATTATTCACTTATCAAAACATCAAATTTCATTCAATAAAAAAAAATAAAAACTTTTCATTTTTAAACCATACTCTTACATTCAACCTTCCAATTTTATTAAGTTTCACTGAAGTTTTGATTTTCAAACATTTAAATTTTTCATTTTTCAAACCTATATATCATCAAGCTCCAAATATTTAGATAATTGGAGAGTTTTAAGGAAAAGAAGTTCATAGAGAAAAATAATTTTATTTTAAAAACAGAATAACTGAAATAATATATAGTCCAAGATAAAGATATAAATTTTATTTATTAAAATTTGTTCTAATATGTTAAAAAAGTCCAGTAAAGTAACGAGTAGTTTATATATTTATAAATTTTTTTCTTTTACTTATGTAAGCAGTGATGAGATCTTCTTAAGAATTAAGGTGAGGTGTGATCTCCAAAAGTTTTATAACTCCTATGTCATTTATGATTTTCGTCCTCCAAATTTTAATATATTTATAATTTCTCAATCTCTCCTCAATTTTGTAACTCTTATATAATTTATAATTTTGTCTTCTAAAACTTAATAATAATTGTATATATTTACTTATATATTTATAATTTTATTCTCTCACCC